TAGATCACGTTGAATACAACATGAAACGTAATACATGCACGATACCAAAATGAGGCTTTCAGTTAAATTTAGAAGCCGGGTTTCAAAATTCGCTGCTTCTATGTACCTGCGTAGCTTGTCGCCAAGACTCCCAAATAAAATCGATGAACGAATGATGCAGAAAGAAAGTTGGATCATTAGCTGATGATGCAGTCAGGACCATATCTTCTGAATAATTTATGTAAAAACTTTATCAACTAGGGGTAATAACGAACCGCCAACGAAAAGATGAGGCATTCCATGAGAAAGTTCGAGCTGTTTCCAAGTTTTCTTTATAGGGCAGTCCTAGAATAGCATAAAATAACAAATAGGAAGCAACGGAATGATATAAGAACAAAACTACACTGACTTTCTAAGTACTTATAGCATTAAAAAATTCTCATTTGATGCATTCGAGCGTGAAAAATGGGCCGAGGAGCGTTGAAAATACGAACTTGTGCGCTCCATGCCCATTTTCCACGCACAAATGTTGTCGACACCGCAGATCTAAGTTGGTAACCAAATGCACTAGACTATATCTAAACTCACATTTTGAGCAGCTGGAGAAGCTAGTATCTGGTCTAGAGTAGCACTCCTTGACATATAAGTTTGCACATCGTCAATTGGCATTGGAGCAGATAACTTTCCGACATCACGTTTGATAACTCGAGCTTTCTGTCAAAAAAATTCATTTTCATTAAGGGCAAGTCGTAGCTAAAGTTCTCACACTTTCAAGCATCCACCCAGCAAATGGTCCATCTTTCACTTCGCCTGGTTTCGAACCGCCCAGCAATTCGCTACTCCATAGAACTGAATGTTCAGGCTTGGTCAGGCGACTGTCCATAGTAGAATCCCAGTATGTTAAGGCCATAGAGGGATCCACCATTCTTAGAGCGATTTCCACCCTGTGAGCGAGTATTCTGTTAGCAAATCATGAAAAACTTAAATTACTAAATGATAACCTTTTCAGAAACTCTCTATGCCATGGGACAAATGCAGGACCTGCATGGGCTCCGCTGGAGACTGCAAAACGGGTGTGGATCCGGTTAAGGTAATCGTAGACTCCAGAGTTCTTAATCGACCATAAAGCCTTGTGAAATCTATAATTTCAAAGTTAATTTTTCAGTAGGTAAACCCAGATTCCCATGCTAAAGTTTGAAGAATTTAAATTTGCCAACCTGCTCCTTTCATCATCGGTAAGCATTCGATATTCTTTGCGTAATGTCTGTCCCACCGTCATGCCATTTTTCAGACGACAGCTTCCCGATGTCATAGATCCTAAAATCATCTTATGAATGGCCTTACTATTTTTTAAAATTCCTACCTCCCATAAATCCACATACACAAGTCATATTGAAGCATTCATACACGCTTTGTGGTGGTGTGTTAAATGATCTCTTTTCTGATGGGACCACAGATGCATTTTCCAAGTTCTGTAAATATGCATCGCAGCACATTGTGATGTATAACCCAATAATGGGTCTCCTTTGACTTTTATGCAATCAAGGTATATTTGTGATTAGCTTGCCTCTTTTCTAACAAGCGAAGGAATACGGCTAGGAACTCGATGTTTTTGCAAGAGTTTGTCGGCTTTCCGTTACCGATGCTAAAGAACAAACAGACAGCTTACTCAAAAATCTTTCTTTAACTTGGAATTTATTTTCAAAATGAGAATTTTTTTATGGCCTGCAACTAGTTAATATTGGGTCGTTCCGAAAGTTCTTTCCGTTTGACCTGTCATAAAAGCACTTATAATAAAGAGGGCCAAACAGTTCAAGGACTATTCTCTGTAGCTTTTCTTCCTCTTTTCATCAGTCATATTTCCTAACCATCTGCTCTTGTGGTCACCAAAACAAGGCATAAAATTTCGAACACGTGGCTTTATCCACACCCAAGTTTGGCAATTTTTCAAAAATCTTCAGTCTTGATTTCTAGGTTAGCTGTGATAAGTTATGGATGGAGTAAATAAAGTGCAATTAAGTAGATGTTTTGGCACCTCCAACTAATCTCCCAGTATTTTTTTTTTGAAATGATTTTTCCAAAATGCTTCACTTTTGCAAGGTCGTGTAATACACGAACGCTTCAAAACAGGAAATGTCGAAATTCGACAGTTTCATAACTCAATCAACATTTGGCACTAATTTTTCCAAGCAGATAAGCTTTTTCCGCCACGAAATACCATTTGGAATGCGT